TTAAGCAGTATGTTGCTTTAGATTGAATTGAATTGAATTCAATTTTATTTATATAGCTCCAAATCACAATAACAGTTATCTCACAGCGCTTTTCATAAAAGAGCAGGTCTAGACCGTACTCTGTGATGTTATTTACAGAAGCCCAACAATTCCCACCAAGAGCAGCACTAGGCGACCGAGGCAAGGAAAAACTTCCTTTAAGAGGCAGAAACCTCGAGCAGAACCATGGCTCAGGGTGGGCGGCCATCTGCCTCGACTGGTTGGGGGTGAAGGAGAGAGAGAGAGGCAGCCTACACAATATACAACACAGAGGTAGAGACAGTAAAGTTGATGTTGCTATAGACTAAATGAAAAATGGTTTAGATATGTATAGTAGTGTTAATGATAACAATCGTAATGTTAATGATTATAATAACAATAGGAGAAGTAACAATAGTTGTAGCAGAGGATGTCGAGCAGGAACACGGGGGCAGCAGGTGACCCGCAACCACAGATCCAGACTCCACAGCTCCAGAGCCAGAAACACCTGCAGGAAGTGATAGGAGGAGAGAGGAGAGGGACGAGAAAGCACAAGACTACCGGAAAGGGGAGAAGTCGAGTTAGTAACATGCAATAACGGGATGAGGTTGCATACAGACGGAGAGAAAGTAGAGGAGAGAGGAGCTCAGTGCATCATAGGAAATCCCCCGGCAGTCTAGGCCTATAGCAGCATAACTAAGGGATGGTTCAGGACTCACCTGAGCCAGCCCTAACTATAAGCTTTATCAAAGAGGAAAGTCTTAAGCCTACTCTTAAATGTGGAGATGGTGTCTGCCTCCTGAACCCAAACTGGAACCTGGTTCCACAGGAGAGGAGCTTGATAGCGGAACGCTATGGCTCCTAGTCTACTTTTGGAGACTCTAGGAACCACAAGTAACCCTGCATTCTGGGAGCGCAGTGCTCTGGTGGGGTAGTAAGGTACTATGAGCTCTTTAAGATAAGATGGTGCCTGACCATTAAGAGCTTTGTAGGTAAGAAGAATGATTTTAAATTCTATTCTGGATTTTACAGGAAGCCAATGCAGAGAAGCTAAGACAGGAGAAATGTTATCTCTTTTACTGGTTCCTGTCAGAACACGTGCTGCAGCATCCAGCCTAGAAGTAACAAATGCATGGACTAGTTTTTCTGCATCATTTTTAGACAGGATGTTCCTGATTTTCGCAATATTACGTAGGTGAAAAAAGGCGGTCCTTGAAATTTGCTTAATGTGAGACTTAAACGACATGTCCTGATCAAAGATAACTCCAAGATTCCTCACAGTGGTGCTGGAGGCCAGGGCGATGCCATCCAGGGAAACTATATCTTTAGATAATGCGTCACGGAGGTGCTTGGGCCCCAGAACAATAACTTAAAACTACAGGTCATCCAGGTTTTAACATCCTGAAAGTACATTTGAAGTTTAGCTAACTGATGAGTTTCATCTGGCTTGATCGATAGATATAACTGAGTATCATCTGCATAACAATGAAAGCTTATGGAACATTTCCTGATAATATTGCCTAAAGGAAGCATAGTGAACAGGATTGGTCCGAGCACAAATCCTTGAGGAACTCCATGATTAACTTGGGCGTGCATGGAGGACTGAAATCAATCGGATATATAGGACTTAAACCAGCTTAGAGTGGTTCCTTTAATGCCAATGAAATTATCCAGTCACTGCAATAGGATCTGATGGTCAATGGTATCAAATGCAGTACTAAGATCTAGTAAAACCAGTACAGAGACAAGTCCTTTGTCTGATGCAATAAGGAGGTCATTAGTCATTTCACCAGTGCTGTCTCTGTGCTATGATGAACTCTAAATCCTGACTGAAAATCCTCAAATAAACTCTTGCTATGTAGAAAGTCACACAGCTGTTTAGCAACTGCTTTCTCCAGAACCTTAGAGAGAAATGGAAGGTTAGATATAGGTCTATAGTTGGCTAAAACATCTTTTTCAGAAGAGGTTTAATTACAGCTACTTTAAAATACTGTGGTACATAGCCTGTTGATAAAGATGGATTGATCATATCTAGTAGAGAAGTGCTGACTAAGGGTAAAACTTCTGAATGAAGAAATTATTGAAGTTAGTTGGTAAAGATTGAGGGAAGCAAAGCAGTCTAAACATATCTGGTTTTACAGCTGTTTTTAAGGTTCCTGAGTTTAGAGATAAGTCGGTGCCAGTTGAGGGCAGGTCTTGGTGAATTTTGTTTCTAATAGTTAGAATTTTATCATTAAAGAAGCTCATGAAGTCGTAACTACTGAGAGCTATGGAATACTTGGCTCAATAGAGCTGTGACTCTGTCAGCCTGGCTACAGTGCTGAAAAGTAACCTGGGGTTGATCCTATTTTCCTCTATTAATGACGAGTAGTACGCTGCTCTGGCATTACGGAGGGCCTTCCTATAAATTTTAAGACTTTCTTGCCAAATTAAATGAGAATTTTCCAGTTTGGTGGAACGCCAATTCCTCTCACATTTCCACGATATTTGCTTTAATTTTCGAGTTTCCGTATTATACCATGGAGCTAACCGTCTTTGTTTTATTATTTTCTTTTTTAGAGGGGCTACAGAGTCGAGTGTCATTCGCAGCGAGCCTGCAGCACTATCAACAAGATGATCGATTTGGGAGGGACTGAAATTAGCATAGGAGTCCTCTGTTACTTTGTGATCTGATAATGAATTTAGAGCTGATGGAATCGCATCCTTAAATTTAGCTACAGCACTATCAGACTATCTTGTATAGAAATTTTTGCCCAATGGCGTGTAGTTCAGCAATACAAACACAAAAGTTATCAAACAGTGGTCAGATAAAGAGGGATTCTGTGGGAACACTATTAAATGTTCAATTTCAATACCGTATACCAAAACAAGGTCATGGGTGTGGTTAAAACAGTGAGTCGGTTCATGAAAACTCTGAGAGAAGCCAATGGAATCTAAGAGAGAGATAAACGCAGTACTGAAGCTGTCATTCTCATCGTCCACATGAATATTAAAATCCCCTACAATAATAACTTGTGTGTGAAAGACCAAGAACAAGGCTTTCAAATGAGTTATAGTTTAGTTTAGGTTTAGAGCTGATTAGTAGGCTAGAGTGGAAGATAGCTGCAACTCCACCTCCTCGGCCTGTGCCTCGGGAATGTGAGTATTAATATGACTGGGAGGGGTCGATTCCCTTAGGTTAACATATTCTCCATCACCCAGCCAGGTTTCAGTAAGACAAAATAAATCAATCATAATCTGATATTAGTTCATTTACTAGTACACCTTTCGAAGAGAGAGATCTGGAGCCGGTTGCACCAACAGGGCTTTACTAAGCCTGGTCCTAACTGCTAAGTAGGTCTTAGTTAAGACCAGTCTTTAGAGTTGACCTAACGTCGGTTGCACCAACCAAACTACGTTCTGCGTTCATGTGAATGGCCACAGAACTATAGCGGTTGCCTAGCAGCGTGCGTTGCTGGGTTATGCTGTAAACTATCTTCCGCTGTTTTGTTAACTTGTAGCCGTCTCAATGGATGATCAAAGAAAAAGGAAAGGAAATTTCACCGACATTGAGATACAAAAGTTAATTGAGCTGTACAGTCAGCACAGACACACACTGACTGCCAAGCAATCAAACTCAATAACGAAGAAGAAGAAACAAACAACATGGAAACAGATAACGGAGGCGATTAACGATTGCTCTGACTCTGGCTGCTTTCGGACAGAGAGCGATGTGAGGAAAAAGTGGAAAGACCTCCTGAGCAAAGCAAAAAAAGATTTGTCTTCAAAAAAACACCACCCGACCGGCGGGGGTCCTCCCCCAAAAACCTCCGTGTACAGTACCATAATTGTGGATATCTTTGGAGAGGATTCCCCGGCTTTTATTGGTTTGGTCGGTGCGGAAAGTGGCGGTACCGATCTGGAAGAAACTGCTGTCTCTCCAGAGATGGATGTCGACCACTCAAGCGAGAGTGTGAATTGTGAAGGTGTGTAGCCTATATATTGGAGTAGCCTCCAATAACAGTTTTAGTAGTTGTCAGATAACAGTAGGCCTATGACAGATTCTCTGTATTTTCAGACTCGATGGAGGCCCAAGTCACTCCGCAAAATACTCATGAAGGCAGCAGCGGTGCACCGCCGATGAAACGGAGGAGGAGGCTGGAAGATCTGCAGCAGACACTTCTTGAAAAAGAAATTGTTAGAGTGGAGGCTGAAACAAAGAAATTACAGGCCGAGCAGGAAAAGCTGGAACTTGAAAAACAAATAATATCATTAGAAATACAGTTGCTCCAACAACAGATAAGCAGGTCATCTTCGCCTATTTCTGAAGAGGATGGGCGGTCTTTTGTAATTCTGTAAATAAGCCTAATGGCAAATTGTGTGCAATGAATCAATGACAATTATATGTAAATTAAAAAAAGAGTTTACTATAAACCTACTGGACTTTCTTTGTGGCTTATTTTTTATGGCAGAATTATTTTAAGTGAAGCAATAGTTTATAACATTTATAAAGCATTAATAATACGTGTACGGACTAGTCGTCCACCGACATCTTCATGCCCTGCATGGTCCACAGGGTCGGCACCTTCCTCCGGCACCGGCTGATGGTGTTGCCTAGGGAGAGGGATCCTCTTGGTGACACAGATGTTGTGGAGGACAGTGCACGCTGCTATTACGGTGCAGACTTGCTCAGGGTGCATCCGCATCTCTCCATGAAGACAATGAAACCTAGAAAAAAGAATTAATGATTAGGCTACTGTGAAACCTAAATCTGTCACGTTTGCCGAGTTTTATATAGCCTAGGCCTAGTCTATTTATATAGTCTTCAGTGATCTAGTGACCACACTATATCAGCACCATGGATAGCGGCACAGACACTGCGGAAGAATTTTACCTGCGCTTGAGGACTCCGATGCACCGCTCAACGAGGGACCTAGTGGTGGTGTGGATGGTGTTATACCGTCGTTCTTGCTCAGTCCTCGGAGCAATTATAGGATCATCATGCAGTGTTTCAGTGGGTATCCACTGTCACCGAGAAGCAGCCCATTTACTCTTCCAGCCTCGAAATCCTGGTATAACGCACTCTCTCGGAGGATGCGTGCGTCATGGGTAGATCCAGGCCATCTTGCCACCAAATTAAAGATGTTATAATTGGCGTCACAAGCAATCTGCACATTGATTGAATGGTATCCCTTGCGGTTGACATCAGATGGTGCTGGATCCGGATGTGAGTCCCATCGATGCAGTCCACAATACCAGGAATGTCAGAGGCCCGGAGGAATCTGTGTTTCATCACCGCACACTCGGCCTCAGTGGGGAGGTGAGCAGATCGTGGAAGGCGACGGCTCAGTGCCAGTGACACTCTGCGGATGGCCCGACATGCGGTGGATTTGTGGACATTAATCATGTCTCCAACAGTGTTTTGAAACGCACCATTTGCATAAAAACGTAGCGCTATTAACAGCTGTAATGCGGGTGTCAATGCTGCGTTGTGATCCGACACAAACTGTAAGTCGGGTGACAGCTCTTCAACAAGTTCATATATATCTCTCCGACAAAATCGAAACCTCTGAATCAGCTCCTCATCATTGTAAATGTCCAATGGATTGCTTCTGTCCCTAATAACTCTCTCCCATCTAAAAGCCCGCTCATTGTAAAGTCTGTGTATAAGGCGCGCCATGTCTTTACTGCTGAGTTATCAAGTGGTTACTATAGAAACTTGCCTAGATTTTTACTTTACGCCTGCTACTGACTAGGCGTAAGATTTACGCCCGGTCTTAGCGAGAAGAGGACTTAAGCCTGGATGGTGCAACTGTCATAACTATTAGGTCGGACTTAGAATGCTGAGTTAAGACCTACTTACCTTAAGCCCAGGCGTAAGCCCTGTTGGTGCAACCGGCTCCAGATGTTTAAGAGTCCACATAGGATCTTCACTAAGTAACTCCTGAAATGGAGGAGCAGAGAAGTGTGTTCGACTGGTCTCAACTCTGGGTTTTCATAGATTTGGTCCACTAATAAACTTGGCCAGATTTCTAGAAATGAGAGCTGCTCCTGGGATGGATGCCGTCTCTCCGAATCAGACCAGGTCTTCCCCAGAAAGTCTGCCAAAGATCTACAAAGCCCACATCGTTTGCTGGACACCACCTCGACAACCAGCGGCGGAATGACGACATGCGGCTATACATGTCATCACTGGTCAGATTTGGCAGGGGTCAGGAGAAAACTACAGTGTCCGACATTGTTTTTGCATATGTACACACCGTCTCAACATTAATCTTAGTGACCTCCGATTGGCGTAACCAGGAGTCATTACCGCCGACGTGAATAACAATCTTACTGTATTTACGTTTATCCTTAGCCAGCAGTTTCAAAAGCTGGCTTCGCTAACTTCACGTTTCTCAAAATGGAGCTGCCAATGATCAGTTGGTTTCTCAGCTGGTGTGTCGCTGAGTGGGGAAAATCTGTTAGAAACGAGAAGAGGTTGGTGATTACCCGTGGGCTTTGAATGCTTACGACTATTCCTCCTTCAGACATTCACCCAGCCACCCCTTCCTGGCTGCTCAGGAGATCCCGGGGGACGGCTACCACAGGCTAACTCAGGCCGTTCCGCACCGACTACTGGGGACTGGCTAGCTACAGTAGCTAAAGACTTATTTACCAAGGTGCGGAGACGGACTTCTAAATCACTGAGCCTTGCCTCCATGTCTACAAATAAACTACACTTGTTACACGTACCATTACTGCTAAAGGAGGCAGAGGAGTAACTGAACATCTGACACACAGAGCAGGAGAAAGTAGGAGAGCGAGAGGGAGAAGGAGAAGCCATCGCTAGCTGCTGAGCTAATGTCGCTAACGGCTGAGCTAAAGTACTGTAGCGTCAGCTACCAAAACTTTAGAACAACTATGAGATTGAACAGCAGTCACTAAAAGATGGAAAGAACTGTGAGTGCTTAGGCAAAATTATTGTAAGAATAAATGTTTAGTGGACAGTTGGCCGCAGTAATCGAACAAATTTAACTGGTATTTAGCGAGAGCAGCACAACACGCTGCCAACACACAAGCACCGGAAACGGATGAGTCAACACGCTTACCGCAGTACGTCAGCCGACATCTAAAGCAACATTTAATGTATTTAACTGTAACTTCAGTTAATGACCAGTAGAGTACTGTGATTAAGCAGTATGTTGCTTTAGATTTCATGTATTTAACTGTAACTTCATAGTCAATGACCAGTAGAGTACTGTGATTTAGCAGTATGTTGCTTTAGATTTCATGTATTTAACTGTAACTTCTAACTGTAACTTCACTGTAACTTCATAATTACCTACTTTATAAAACAATTGGCGCAATATACATACAATTGAATTTTAAAGACATCGTAACCTCCAGTTTAACATGAATCAATTCCTCGCTGTCTCTTCGATTTTGTGCCCGTCTCTGGATTAATGCCCCAAAACACCTATAAACACAAGGAAAGCCGTTTCATTCAGGTAGGATGATAAAGGTGGCATTTCCCAAACAGTCCCCCCCAGCTTTCAGTGGGTCACTGCTGTTGTATGACAGAGCTAAACTTATCTCTGTCTGGACAAGGTGACATTACTGTGGTTCAGATAAAAACCAGCCATTTAAAGAAACAGTAACTGAAAACCATTTTCATTACAAACACTTCAATCAACAAAGTGCAGGTGTGTGATTTACCTAGGCAGAGTAGCCTGAGCGGTACTAGCCTGTGCCATTGACAGAGAGGGGCATGTAATGCATGCACCGGGGGCTATACGGGGTGAGGGTGCTTTCCCCCGATTGGGCAAATGCAAAGTGCAAACAATTCTGTCATTCTGTCATAGGTGCTGAGGCGTGGCCTTGTGAGGGAAAAACAATAATGGGCGGAGCATGGAGCATGTAAAAAATTGAACTAAAATTCAAACAAAATATTAACTTCAAATCTACAAAAGTACTCAGAACTGAACAAGGACAATTTTTAAAACGGCTTCCTCTCTGGTCTCCAGCACAGACACGTGTTGAGTCTATAATACAGCTCTCAGGGAGGCACGTTAGCAGTTGCCTGCTGTGGTCCTGGGCTGCTCACAAACACAAACACCCAAACATAACTACTTTCAACAAGCCCTCAAGCACAATAGTAACGTAGACATTTACCTTTAGATAAATTCCAGAGTGCATGAAGCACCTTCAGCATACTTCTAATTTAAATTGTAATAGCTGGCGAAAACGACAGCCAAACCACTGACGAAGTCCTGGTGAGGTCCTATGACCACTTGGCCCTCCGCAGACAGCATCCATGCACTGGGCTTCATTATGTCACCTGAAACAAATTCAAATATACTCACCATACTAGTGGAGAGCTGCTTCTGGAACGCGCTGTGGCACGTCTGTTGTCAGCACAAGCATTGACTAGACTACCTCAATATGGTGCAGGCTTTCCCTGTGTGGATTCAGAGTATGAATAAAATAATTTTTCTTTAAAGAGAAGTTATGAAAATATTTGTGAATGCTCTTAGTTAATGTTCTTAGAAAGAAAGAAAATCAGAATCAGCCATTTTCAGAAAACCATCCATCCATCTTCATCCGCTTATCTGGGGTCGAGTCGCGGGGGCAGCAGCTCCAGCAGGGGACCCCAAACTTCTCTTTCCCGAGCCACATTAACCAGCTCTGACTGGGGGATCCCGAGGTGTTCCCAGGCTAGTGTGGTGATATAATCTCTCCACCTAGTCCTGGATCTTCCCTGAGGCCTCCTCCCAGCTGGACGTGCCTGGAGGCGTCCTTACCAGATTTTAAATATTGACATTTTCATTTCAGGTACCTCAACATGTTCTCGACTCGCTGGAAAAGGAAGTAACTACTGGAGCTGAGATCAGACCACAACAGAGAGCTCACAATTCCACACATAGATGTGAAGATGTAAAACAAATTCACTGTTTACAATTTGATTTAGCCAGGAGGAGATTAAGAGCTGGAGGGATAATGTTTTTGAGGAAGTTAGGGATAAAGGACAAAAGTGTAGTTCTACCAGATGAGTGTGCACAGCAAAGAGACACTCGCTGGATCAGTACCAAAAAAGCATGACTTGATGGTGTGAAATGCATTAAAAAAAAATTAAGAAGACATCAACATTATCTTGGTGTGCTTGGTAGCATTACCATCCTTTCAATGTCAGTGGCTGTGGCACACACCTGCAAATATAGAATAAGAAAAGATTAAGACTCAACTGTTACCATATCTTGTACCCATAGATTTATCTTTTTTTTAGTCAGTACACATATTGTAAAACTTAGATTGTGATCATGTGTTATGTATGAAGTACTCAGTCCACTCACCAAGAACTTTAGCTATCACTATAAGGAACACCTGTAAACCTGCTTATTCATGCAATTATCCAATCAGCCAATCATGCGTTCAGGGTTTTTCCTGCAAAGAGATGTTTTTAGCAAGCGCCAAAGGAAAATCACCAGCGCCAAAATGATATGAATTGGGGGAAAAAAGCATTTCAAATCCCCTCCGAACGTGTTTTAATAGCCATTTATCAAACAAGCAGAACATAAACTTAAATACGACGTCTTGTCTTCCAGCAGTCACCTCTCCTCACATTCACAGCCGCAGTATTTTACACATGCAGCTGGCGCTGGATTAATAAACCAGCTGCTGCGTTGGTTTGACTGCGCCTGAACGCTCCTCCATGAAGCTGTATTAACCGGTACTAGCACTTTCACATTTTACTCCGGCACCGGTTCTCTTCTCTGCCCTCTCCAGATTAGGTTTTCTGGGTGCTACGTGACGCTCGCCTGTTCACGTTCTCTCCTTCCTGCTAATCTCCGCAGGGAGATCAGGAGCCTTTCATGCGTGTTTAAAGTTGCTCGTCAAAGTCACTTCATGACCAATCACAGCCTGGAGCAGGCGGGACATTACAAAAAGGTTGAGGAACTACAGCAAACTTAAGAAATGTTGAACGTGTTGTTCTGTATGTCCGGTTATTATTACAGCATAAAAAAAAATGAGAGACTAACCACCATGAAGAGCATTTTTCTTGCACAGTAACTTAATGACTGAAAACAACCCACAAAATTAAACTGCTGTTTTGTCCAACTGGAATTAATATTATAGGAAAATATCAGAAAACGGTTTTGTGTAAAAAAGCTGAATCTCAACTAATAAACTATCTGTAGGAATACTATCCAAATAAAGTGTAAACTGTAAATATATAATTGTACTGACATTATACTTTCTATTTAATGTTATAATATTTATTAATACACTAATTTACACATTTACTCCTCCAGGTTGTGGATATATTTTGTTTATCAAATGGTCAGAAATAACAAGAAAATGCATAGATTACGGTCATAAGGTATCGCACTGCCTTTACTGTACGAGCACCGATCATGCTTAAGTTAATGTTACTGTCGAGCAAAGTCACCACCCAAAGGCCCATTATGAGCCAGGAAAAGCCCTGTGTGTTTTCCTTACAGTTGACAAGATAGGCAACGGCTGCTCTCTATCACACCCAGCACCAGAGAAAATTACGAAGGTTGTCAATCTTAAAATAGAAAGTGTGTGTAACTTAGCTAGAAAGATAACTTAAGTTACTTCACCGCCCTGTAACGTCAGTCTTGTCACCATGCTGTAAGGTAACGTTAGCTCACAAATACAAACATCGTCAGTCACAAAAAATCAAATAACCCGAGTTCTTACAAACGTGTATCTTACAGCTACAAATCCCTAGTTCTTCAGACTGTCAAGCTAAGTTAATGCATTTTCAAAAACAAATATGAGTGCCGCTTGGTCTAACAGCAGCACTCACTCTAACTGCCCGCAGTGGAATTTTCCAGACAAGACCGTTGACTTGAAAACTAACTTCCATCAGACAATGGACATGCGCAGTTCATTTTACAGTTGACAAGAAAAGCAACGGTTGCTCTGTATCACATGCATACACCGCAGGGGAGAAAATTACAAGCTAACGTTACTAATTTGAGATTAAAGTTGTCAAACTTTATCTTTGCCCTTATCCATTACAATATTTTTCTCTGGTTGATAAGAACGGTCAATGTATTAAGGTCACAGCTTACCGTATAACGTTAACTTCATTGTCCAGTGGTCTTGTCAGCGTAAAAAAGCACTGCACCAAATGCTGTGGGGGAAAATATAGTGGGGAAAGACAGGCTCTTAGCACTAAGAAAAGCTAACGTTAACAGATAACTTAAAGGATACCTTAACACCTTTAGAAATATGAGGCTTGAAAACAACTCAGACGAAAAAGCATTTCTAACGTTACTAACTTAATAGAGTAAGTGTCTGTTAATTTCTTGTTTAAAAAATTGGGTGCTCAAACCTACCATGAGTAAAGTTAACATTAACCACTAACGTTAAGTTAACTAACTTTATGGCTGTATTCGAAACCGCCTACTGTACTAGTAGTATGTACTGATTTGGTCCAAATGTAGTATGTAGTATACAGTATGCTAGTGCTTCTCAAGGGGCGTTCTGAGGACGATGGGGGCGCTGGAGGCAATATTTTGGAAGGGGGGGCGCTGAGCTGCTTTCGGGGGGCGTTTGTTGGTTGGAAATTCTAAGGCGAGTTTACACTTAAGATTCACAACAATAAGAGTTTAAACTTAGTCAGTTGTGGGTAAATTTTTACAGATGATACTCTGACTTCTTTAAGTTTAACTTTAAAGTACTTGCAAAAAACTGTGGTCTGCCACATTAAAACCTGCCAGTTTAGTCCACTGCAACTGTACGAGACTTTTAACTAGGCCTATTTAAATTCGTATTTGAGCTGCAGGCAGCGCATATTTGCGCAGCACATCCTCTGGCTCGTCTCTCTCATCTGTCCCTCGATCTCCTTCCTTAACACAGCTGCACAAATCTGTCCAACACAACGCTGTCAATGTCGGAGACCCAGCTATTAAAAGTTAGTAGCAAGCATGTAAGGAGAGCTAAGTTAATGTTAGAATACAGCTGGGTTTTCGAGGCTAGCACGCTGTATCTGCGCCACAGTTACACTGTCATTCTTAGGAAACACTGAGTTATAAGTTATGAGCACATGAGCTAATAAAGTCCAGTCAATAACTGAATTAAAACAGATTCATTTATTACTGAGATGAAAAGGGGCCACAAACACATTTAAATAGGTTACTTCCCCACATAAGAGGAGGAAAGACTTAATCATGTGTGTTGACTCAGCAGGGATGATATTAAATAAGCTGATCTACAGGAGAAAAATATTTAAAGGCAATAAGAATGTCAGAGAACCTCACTAGATTATATTCTATTATAATAATATATTTTGAATTGTCACCTGCCACCTGAATTTTTAGACATTGCCACCATAAATTGGTGCAGAAAAGGCAGAAATTGGAGGAAAAAGTTTCACCAGAATGCAGGAAATTAAGTGGTTGATGCTCAAAATCTTCTGGGGGGGACCCCCATACCCCCCACTTATTAAGTGCCCCATCCAAGAGAACAGTATCTGGCTTCACACACAGTTTCTGGGAGGAAAATCCACTTATTAGTTAAATATAATTACTTTTCACATGGCTTTTTTGTTACATTTCCGTGTTTGTTTGTTTTTTAAAAAATCAACAATATTCAGGGCAAATTGCAAACATCTTTTTTGATGGGGGGGGTAAGGGACCTGGATAATAGATAGGGGGGAGCTGGCCCAAAAAAGGTTGAGAATCACAGCAGTATGCAAACAAAAGCAAAATCTGCAGTATGCCAAAAATACCCGGTTGGAGTACTGATTCGGGAAAAATATGCAGTATGCCAAAAATACCCGGTTGGCGTACTGATTCGGGAAAAATCTGCAGTATGCATCGGACCAGTCTACCTCGCGCACTGTGGCCCATAATGCAAAGCGCTAGACCTGTAACAACAACCCGTCTTTTCTTTAGGGGACAACAACAGAACTTGTTTTACAATTTCCATACGTGTTTCATCACTAATCCACAGTTTTGAGGTGAGAAATCAACTGTGTAGATTTTAAATATCGGCATCTTTAGGGAAATTGTTGACGAATCGAGAATGTGCTCGAACGTTTTCGGGGTTGAGAAGCTCCGCAAATGCAGCGGGGGAAGCTAATGAGCCAGCCCGCGGGGTTAGCTAACGATCCGGCCAGTCAGCTCACGGAGCCCCCTGGTCCTCACGCCAGCTCACGGAGCTCACAGCCACACAGACCTCTGCAGCCAACGCAGCAGATGAGTCCAGCAACAACCTGAGAGGAAAGACCCGCAGCTGTGAGACAGTTTACATGTTCGTTCCGCTGTTATTCTGTCTTTACATTCTGAGTAATGTAGTAACGTTAAATAAAGACACATCTGGCTCTTGATGGACAGGCTTGTGTAACTTAGAAGCACTTTGATAAAAAAATAAACAACAATAGTGGAACGAAAGGGGACTGCTGTCCTTTATTATTATCATTATTCTAAATAGACATTACATTTTTAGTGTAATGTTACAGTTGTGGTTATAGTACATGATTTTATATAATTCTTATTTATGCACCAATATACCGAAGCAAACATCTGCTACAGCTCGGCTGCAGCCCTGTTACATACGATGTTTTTAAAAGAATACGTTTTAAGCGTAATTACTTTTATATTCCTCTCATTGTTCCGATTTTGAACACCGGAAACTAGCAAAGCCTGGTGTAGCATGCTGCAAAATAAATCTATTTAACATTTTCTTACTACATACTAAACCTCATACAGTTTGCAGTATACAGTTCATACTGCATACTGCTGTTGCCAGTAGTAGGCGGTTCTGCATACAGCCTGTCTTTGTAACTTATGTTAACTCCTCTACAAAAACATACAAAGCAACAGAACTTAGCTATTTGGTTACAGTTAAATAACATGCTCTGCTATATCAAACAGTCATTTCAAAGTCATTTAGTTGACAAAATGTGACATTTCAACACTTACAGTCACTTAACCGTCTATCGGGATGAGCGAGGCGAAAGCTCCGAATGACGCAGCTCGAAAAGTCTGAATTCACAGCAGTTTCCTGTAACAGCCCCGCCTGCATTCATTTCACAATAAAATTCTGAACACGGTATAATATTGTGAAATGTCACAGTAAAAGCGTGTGAAGTGATAATACTGTAATTTCTTGTGAAATATACAGTCCCATCCTGTGAAATAATTTGCAGTGTACCAAACTGCTCATAATATTCAGCCTCACATAAGAAAAATGAACCCCATTTATTTTAACGGCTGCGACAGGCTGATGCACCGAAATGAAAATTCTTGGTCGAAGCCGAAAGCCAATATAATGCTAGCTAACACGTGGATTTATAACTTTAATGGTTCTGATGTTTATTAGCTGACCTTAGTTAACTTAATAGCTTCATAATCTAGACAGCAACTTTTGTCTGCCTCAGAAGCAGTGTTACATTTGTAACACATTACTCCCAACTAGTAATGTGTTACAAAAGTAATGCAATTACAGTTACGTAGTGCTTTTTGCTGTAATGCAGTAACCTTCAATAGATGTCTATGAAGATTCTCAGTCATCCAGGTCATAGTTATCCAACGAAGGTTAAAGTCAAGGGCAACTGGACTTGGTTGAAGATACTGGAAGACGTTTCGTCCCTCATCCAAAGGACTTCTTCAGTTCTGACTGACTGGCAGGGAAACTTAGCTATTTAACCTCAGTGGGGTCGTTGGCCCGGGTCGTCGATACCCCTGTTGCTGGAATTTGATGGTTGAGAATGTAGGCAAGCCTGTGCATGCGTGAGGTCTTTATCAGAGTATAAATGCAATTATTATGATGCTGTCTGTATGCTAAAGAATAAGTGTAGACAGCCACGTATCTCCTCTGATGCACATGCAGCTTATTTTCACCTGGCAGAGATGAGGGTTCACTGTTACCGAGGTTCACCGCCTCTGCACAGATTCCCCACCCAACCGGTAGGAGTGCATCATACCTCACTGGTTTCCCACCCATTAAAGATGCACACATTTGTTAATATTTTAGATGTGTGGAGTCTGATTCCCCTTCACATACAGTGAGGAAAATGAGGAAAAACAAATAAATAGTTAAAAAATCATACATTGTGATTTCTGGATTTTTTTTTTAGATTATGTCTCTCACAGTGGACATGCACCTACGATGACAATTTCAGACCCCTCCATGATTTCTAAGTGGGAGAACTTGCAAAATAGCAGGGTGTTCAAATACTTATTTTCCTCACTGTATACTCACCTCTCTATATATACTTATCCTCTGCTCTGCACTCAGATGTTGGTCTTCTTCTCTCCTTTAGTCCTCCAGTCTTCAGCCTGCCAGCTACCCATGGACCCTGAAGATGTACAGACACGAGTAGTCAGGATGGCCCCAGTTGCTCTCGACTTGCAGCTTCACAAAGTTGAAGACACCTTTTTTTGGTGACTAGCTGGGACAGGACGAGGACTAAATGTCCACGCCCACCTTCAAAGGCCCAGCAGCGTCCTAGGACCAGGGGGGAGTGTACCTGAGGAAAGACAGAGAGAAACAGAGAGTTTAGGATGTATGTATAAAAAAGAATAGACAGTAAAACAATGTCAGCTATTATCATAGAGCCATCTGTCTTGTGTTTGTAGTTCCTAGCTGAATAACAGTCCTTGGGCTCACAGGTGGCCGCCAGATAGGCATCCCCAAAAACTATCTGTCCTGCCTCTTGTGTCTGGTACTTTTTTGAAGATAGCTGGAATAAAACACTGGCCCCTGCGCACAAAAACACACACAAAGAAAATAAGAAAGCAATCTATAAACTAAAAAGCAAGTGTGAATTACAATCTGACAAATGAAAATGGCAAAGATGATTTAGATGTTTTGATGTTAGACTCCAGAGCAAAGTTGGGCAAAGTGTCTGCTGCCGGAAGCAGGTAGTTCATCCTATTCTTTAACCTCAGCAGCTCGTCCTACAGCTGTCTGAGTTGTGTCGCCACGTCCTGTAAGGGAGAAGAGATTAGTTAAATAATGCTGCATGTTCAAAACTTTGCTGACATCAATGTGTGTTTCACATGTAGGTGAGAACATCTTCGGACTCTGATTGCTTTTAGGTGCACAGGAAGAATAAAAAGACGTTTCTATCTAAAGAGACAGTCAAGCCGCTTTCATGGGCCTAATTGTAGTCGTGTCAGTAGATGAGACTGGGGATGTTATTTAAAGTTATATCATTTATTTTCACTATAATTCCATCCGTAAAAAACACAATGACAGAATGTTTGACTATTTGGGATTCATACAATTGAAAAGCAAAAATCCTTTCAGATGGGCCCGCTGGGAAAAAATCTTGACGCGTGATCGGATCTACAGTTTGTGTCAGTTTCCTTGACATGAAAACGTTTGAGAACTGTTTTACTGTGAAGCTCGTTTTGTTGTATTGAGCTAAAAATGACACATGCACTCAATGCAAAAATACTGTCAGATTCAACCAATCTGAGAGCAGAGGAAAACACGACCAAAATCAAACATAATTTTAGAATTTTATTTATTTATTTATTTAGGAATTGTTGATTTTATGATTTTTTTAATCTGAAATGTGGCAGGAAACCGGAGCAACCAGAGAAAACCCATGCCAACACGGGGAGTATAGAAACTCCATACAGCAAAGATCAAGGCTGGGAATTCACCCCTGATCTCTGCTGAGGCCACAGTGTTAAACACTGAGCTGCCGTGCGGTACTGAACGTTTCTCACAGCGGACATTTTGACTCAAGTGTAAATGGTAAATGATCTGAACTTGTATAGCACCTTTCTAGTCTTTACGACCGCTAAAAGCACTTTTACAATACATCACATTTACCACATTCACACACTGAGGCAGAGGCTAAGGTGCCATCTGCCATCAGAAACAGAACAGAACTGCTACTGTACGTCCAAATGCCCGCTGTGAGAAACTGTTGTCAGGCCAGGTCAGACTGGGACAGGTGAGATAACATTTGTTGACATACAACATGTGAGGTACGATATGCAGGCCGTTCTTAA